GCAGCATGTACAGCATCTTCACTCCAGCAAGGGCTGGATGTGACTGCTAGGGCACTGCTCTGTCCCCCAGCACTTCACAATGGTGTCATTCCCCATGCCACCCCCACTCATCTTCCCAGAAAAATAACAAATTGCTGTTACTTGTTCTGGATTCACACAGAGCCCAGCTCCTGGGGAGGTAACTTGAGGGAAATCACTTTGGGTGCTGACTACTGCTGCCATGTGCACAGACAGTTGGCTGATTTGGAACAGGAAAGGCAGTGAGGCTAGACCCTGAGAAAGAGTCCACGTGAGCATCCTTTCTCCCGGGGATTTCACTGCTGTCGCTCTAAAATGTGAAACAGCATTAGAAGTGCCTCTATCATGAAAGATTTAATGGGTGAAGCCTTATCGCCACCTTTACTGTCATCAACTTGCATCTAAGTTAGAGACATTCAACCTGCTTAAATATATAAAAGTCATCCAATTTAAAAAGAAGGACTTTTATAATTTCAGAAGACAAATTGGAGATTGCATCTGAGACTACTCTTTGGAGAAGGATGTGGATTGGCTTAAGGCTTTGCAGATGACTGAGTTTTCAAAGAGTGGGTTGATTCAGTGCCTAGAAAAATAAAATGAACTCTAACCACTGAATTTGTGGACAGATTTCACACCCATGGTTGGGACTGCTTGTCAAGAAAAGTCTGATTTGAACCAGACACACAAGTTAAACAGCTAGTTATTTTAAAGAGCTCTCTGCTCTATGAGAGATAACGGTATAATCCGTTTTTTGTTTATTTTATGGTAGCACTCAGTATTAAACTTCCTAGTTTCTGAAACACTCCATGGACTTACAGAGGAATACAATTAGTCTGCCAACAAACAGTAGATTAACTTCTCACCACTTACTTAATAAAAATCTGAAGTTAACCTAACGTGCCATAAACCTGACAGAAATAGTCACAGTACCATGTTGTAAGGGTGGTTTATAGATCACAAACATGAATCAAAACACTTCTGACTTCATTAAAAATGGGGGGAGGGGGAAGTGGAAATATTAAGATGACAATACAGGGGAGGCAGTTCAAGAAATGCATTTACATTTTATCTTCCTACTAACTTTCTAATCCTACTAACTTTCAGGCATCTTCAGTTCTTTATTCATCTTTTTAGTACCTGACCCATTTCTGTATACAACACTTCTTCAGGGAGAAAGAATCATTTAATGTGTCACCACTAGCTAAAGTTTTTAGTACAAGACCTGTAAAAGGACATAACCAATGATAGGAATTTTAAGTCCAAGAAAATTTGTCTGCTGTATCTCATGTAATTTGAATCATGCCATGCACAGAATGTTGACTGACATACTGAGTGTTTTTATTCTTCCAACTTAAGGGTGTCTTGACTGTCACAGGACTACTTTTGTCCTTTAATTTTTCTAAAAGGTCAAAATAGAGTTTGTAGATCAAATTCAGTAATTTGCTCAGTCATTTAGGACTTGGCTAATTTGCACTGCAAACGTGCTGTCTCAATGGGAAGGTTACATAGCTGAGATTTATCGTAGAAGTTGAAGTTCCATTGTCATGTTTTTCTTCTTCATATACAAGCAGTTCTGTTTATTCCCAACTCAGCAGCCAAGGTATCGATTAAGTTGGCTTAGGTCAGACCAGCCAGCAATTCCAGACTCAATCTTTACATTGTTTTCCAATAGCTTTCTTTATTGACTTCAAGCTCTTGTTTCTGACTTTAGGATCTTGCTTTTAGCTTTAACTCTGTCCTGTGGTGTTTTTTTGTTTTTGATTTTGTTTTTTTCTGAAGGTTTATTTTACTGCTGCCTCAAACTGTCCAAAGAAATTTCAGCTGAATGTGAAGATGTGTCTGCTAGGCTAAAAGGGAAGAAAATAAATGAAACCTCAGTAAAGAGGCACACAAGGTCTCTCACACGCTGGTCTCAGAATATATATTATTTTAGTCTAGGTATATATTGTGCCATATCAAAAGCCATCTTCAGAACAACTTGCACCATATTCTCTACTGCTCTAAAACTCTGTAGAGAATAACTGATGCTCTCTTCATATCTCATTTGGTGTCCTTTGCTATCTGTAGTCCTGAAATGTTGTCTATTTATATGGGTGAATTAAGGTCTGTGTATCTTACTTTCTACCATCTCACGCTTAGTTTGTTGAATTACATTTGTGCTAACAATCTGTTAAATTTCATTATTCCTATTGGGTAACATTTTTACTCAGTTCTGTGGAGAATCAGGTACACAAATCACAACTGAGCTGATCCTGGGAGACCTCTATCTGTGAACCTGAGGACAAAATTTGACTTCTACAGTAGGAATGGTTCCAATATATGAATTTGCATTTTCCCAAAATGCAGTAGTGGTTACATTTGCAGTTCTATACTAGACTTATGCAGCTGAATTTATTATTCTGTCAACGTACTTCGTTTACTCTATTTGTTTTACTGAAAAAGCATGAGAGATTTGTGTGTGAATAGTTCTAAATACATATATTTTCACTGAACTAAAATATTGTTTGGGTTGGTCAGTAAAAGCTTTCAAGAAAAGTATCCTTCTGGATGTGTTAATTTCAGCAAAAATAAATATTCTATTATCTGTGTAGTTGACAGTCAGCTTTGTTGTAGTTCCAGATAAAAAGGAGAGTATGTTGATTAGAGAAAATACAGCTACATTCCATCTTCCTCCCTTGCTTCAATAAGAGAAGAACATTTACATATTAATTCCAGGACTGAACAGCTGCATTCCCTAGAAAGCACCATTCATTGCAGCAGAGAGCCCATGAAAGCAGGCAAGAAAAAAAAAAAAGGCTGGTATAAAACTTAAGGTGGTTAGGGACACTGATTACTGATTTCACAACGCTTCTGTATTCCAAAAGGAGTGTTCTTCATTATAAGGAGTGCATGTAGACACTTCCATACAGCCTACCAGAATGCTGTTTTACCTATCTGATGAGCAAAAGAAATAGTATTATTTCCATTTCACAGTGAGGCAAATGCAGGCATAAAGGGATTATTTACTAGACTTGGGAAACTACTACCCTATAAATTTAAGTGTGTCCTCTGTTCAGAGTTAGGCAATTTGCCCAGGATTGCACAAAAGATCCATGGCACAGACAGAATAGTTGCCATCTCCAAGTTCCCATTTCCATGTTTTATCTTTTCTGATAAATATTCAGGTCTCATTCCTTTATGCTTTTGTCTTCTCTACTGTTTTTTTATATAACTTTAAAATACATCAAAAGCGGAGATATTGAGTTCTTTTGACAAGAACTGAAACAAAAGCTTAGGACTGTTTTATGCATCGATAGTCTGCAAAGCCTACTTCTGTGAGGCACTAAGCATCAACAGTATGAAAACTTAGTATTTTTCAAGCACAGAATAGTATTAAGGATAACACAAAAAATGATAAATTCTTGTCTTAGCTGGATTTGTCACTCATATTTCCAAAATACGTGAACAATCTCTGGCATTGATGATTTCCCCTGTGATCAAGAGATGTGAATTAAAATAGGTAACCTCCTACCACAGACTCAGAGGAAAAAACTGTACTCAGTAGAAAGCAGGATTCTTGTCATTCTCAGGACATTTCATACTTAACCTTCTTGGCATCAAAAATGACAAGATAAAGTGGGAAAGTTAGAATCAACCAGAAGAACATTTTCTGATGAAAACCTATCAAACAGTAGCACTTAACATAGGTACAAAAAGACACAACTGAAGGTTCAGTCCTGGAAAAGCATCATTTTGCCCAGCAAGCTTACCGGCATCAGTAGGACTAAGCAGGTGAACAGGGACTACTTTTGCAACCGATGAGGTTGTAGATTTTCACAGTGTACTAATTTAATTTAAAAAGCTCTCTGTTCCGAAGTCACACCAGCACTTTGGTCACTGACTCCTGTTCCTACAGGTACAACTGTTTTGGGGCCATGTGGCAAATTCAATCAGTGCAATTACCCTGGTTAAAAGTAACTCTCCAAAAGAGTGTTGTTTTTAATTCAGCCTGCCTGAATTCAATCATTGGTGTTCTGCATAATATTCACTAGCACTGCAAGCAACAATAGCAAAACACTTCATGACGATGTTTTAAGTGAATGCCATTTATCAATGTTTTAGGGAGAAAAAGCAGCATTACTGGTCTTATTAAATATAATTAGTACCTACTGGCCTTGAAGTACAGGACTAGGGAGCCAGCTGTTGTCCACAACAAGTAACTGACAGTTTCTAGCAGGTTATACTGCCTCCTCCTCAGCAGGTTCAGAACCACCAAGCATATTCGCCTAGTTTCCCAGCCATGAAGAACTTTGCATGCCCCACTGCCTGCAATGCACGATAGAATACCATCTTTTCTACAACCCACAGAATCCTTTGCGCAATACATGATTATTTATGTTTGCTGCAAAAATGAACACTACATGCTAGCAGTACAAATTAGGAGCTTGCTCGGCTGCTTTCTGGAACTTCCAACAGTGTTTTTATATAGACTTCTGCTTATTCCACCTCCCCCGTATGTTTTTCTTCTTCTAAATTAGAACTTAATGGAACTTTTGAAAGATATGATCAGAAGTTAACTGCAAGGTAACATTTTAAAAGCTTATTCAGCTGTAGCTGTGAGATCACACAGTAAACTACCAGGAACTGAAGTCATGCAGAGGAGAAATGTCAACTCAACAAAAAATATGTTTGAAAAAATATCAGTAAAAAAGAAAAAGAGGAAAAAGGGAACATAAAAAGGATTTTAGTATTTCCAGAAATGTTATCACCTTTACGTGAGCCTCCTGAAGGACTTGGGTGAGATTCTATCCCACAACACATTACATGAATTTAAAAGAAAAAAATACTTTGTCTTTGCTTTTTTATTCTCCCTCTCCTTTTAAAAAAATAGGTCCTTCAAGGACTGCGATTAGCAACAATATTAACAGTATATCATACAGGTGGATGATGTGTTCAGGAAAACAAAAATAGATGTAGCAGAGAACACGGAGAAAAAAACATACCTTCTGCTGAGTTCTTGTAAGAATGACTTTCATAATTGCTGTTCTTCATGATCCATCATCTGGAGCATTTTAAGTGAGGGAAGTTGTTGCATTTCTTCTGCCCATGTTAGCCACTGTTAGGTCAGTGTGCTTAGACTTGATACAGTCAGTAGTCAGTCGTTCTGCCATTTCCACAGTAGTGTTCATCTTCGGTATTATGCCTGTAGGCTTAAAGAGGAATAATGATTGGAATAATCATATTTGAAAATCACGCTCTACATTTCTAAAAAAGTTCTTGCATGAACTTTCTGCACGAGATTCATTCAAATAACTTCAACAAGCAGGGCAACTATCACCAAAATGCCTTGAATTAGTAGTATAAGCTTGTTATTAGGAAAAGAGTATGCCAACTGTATTATATCATAGATTCCCCACAGTTTGCAGTTATATTCTATTCCTACAATGTAAGATCGAGATATTATGCTTTTGAACTTTTCATACAGTTGTACGTTTATATATTTGTTTTCTTTTCTGGGTCACCCACATTTAGCCTGTCCTCCTAGAGGTCAAACAGTTACTGTATAGGTTGGCATGGACCTTCCGGACTTCTTTGACTTGCTCAAGACAAGTTCAAGCAAGTTATGTGCTATAAATGTTACTTGTATTGGTATATTGCCCCGTTACAGACCAGAGCCTAATGTCCTATATCAGGTTCTTTTGAAAAAAAAAAAAAAAAAAAAAAAAAAAAACCAAAGAAAAACAAACAAACAAACAAACTATTAAAAGACAGACACTTCCAGAAATTTACCAAATAGGAGATCAAAAAAAAAAAAAACGCAAAGAAAGAGTGAGATAACACTACTTACAGAGGAAACCACTAGTCGTTATGCTTACTAACCAGTTACTCATGCTTTTCTTGTGGGAGTTATATTAGAAGAGAATAAATAATGTATCTATATAAGGGTTTACCCTCAGAAAGTTTGCAGGTGACACAAAATTGGAAAGAGGGGCTCAGAGGCCAGAGGGTCATGCTGTCATCCAGAAGGACCTCAACAGGCTGGAGAGAGGGGTGGACAAGAGCATCATGAAGCTCAAGAAAGGAACGCAAAGTCCTGCACTTGGAGAGGAACAACGCTAGGCACCAGTATGTGTTGTGCTGGAAAGCAGCTTGGCAGAAAGGACTGGGAGGTCTTAGTGGACAAACTGAACATGAGCCAAGGGTGTGCCCTTGCCACTAAAGAGCCTCACAGCGTTGTTGGCTGCATTAGGCAAGGCGTTGCCAGCAGTCAAGAGAGGTTATCTCCACTCTATTCAAAAGCTGTTTGGACCTGGGAAGCCTGGGAAACTGGCTCTAGATGGCCCTGTGTGAGCAGAAAAGGTGGACACAAAGGTCCTTCCCAAGCTCAACCATTTTGTGCATTTGAAGAAAGACAAAGCAGCTTATGAATGCACATAGTGTAGACTGTTAACACATCTGGGAAAAGCATACAGCACACATCATTTTTTTTAAGCAAGCCACAGTTCAGAACTCAACCTTCACATTCTCCCTCACAGACCTGCACTGATTTAATGGGGTTTCATTGCCTGAAAGTCTAAAACTTTTACCTCACAATGGGTGATTTAATGATCCTGAAGACCATCAGGCTGTTCTCCATATTACAGTAAGGGCTTATGCCTCTCTCCACATCATTCCACTTTCACAGTTTGCTGTAGTTTGAAGAGGCAAGGAGGACTAGTAGATATCAGTATAAGAAGCATTTGGTAATGTCTTGCTTCTTTAATTAATGTAGAAGTTTAGGCAATGATAGTGACATAACGTAATGTCACATAGGACAGTTCTGATAGTGAAAGTGATCAAAATAAGTTGCCTCCAGAAACCAAATACTGACATGAAATGACAGAGCATACTGTGTTTTATTTTTTAGCTTGGCTGGCAGGTAGATTTAGATTGATTTCAGAAAAAGGGTATTTATCAGAGAATTGTCCTTATCAGCAACCTTATCTGAAAAATATCAGAGAAGAGCAACCATGTAAAGCAGGGCTAAATTCCTACCAGACTTTTGAATTGAGTCCATCGAGTTAATTGGCTTTATGCATGGAGAACTAACTGCAAATTAAACACCACTTTGGTTTTTGGAAAGCAGTAATTTACTGCTTTCCCTTGACTAATCCACATGTTGTATGTTTACCTGGACACCTGTTTTGGCAGAGAGTGAGGGAAGTGCTTGAAATATCATCTTTTTCTGTGCCCCCAGTTGCCTACTTTCATATATGGAACAGTGTCACAAAACAGTCCTCAAGCTAAGGGTATTTCTGGACAAATGAGTAAAACCACACATTCACAGCTTCCACATTAAGATAGCTGGCCATAAAACAACTTGGATCTGGAAACTGTACAACTGCTGGGAGGCAGACTGCATTAGCTCAATCTCAGTGCTGCTCTAATTCAGTTACCTGGCAGGGTAAACATCTATTTGCCTTTCAAAAAACTGCACAGACATACACTTGTTGTTTTTTTTATTTATTATTTTTTTTTCTATTTTGCAGGCCTGAATGTGAAAGGTTGTCTTCCTGGAACTCTGAGAGAAGGTATTAGAAAACAAACAAAAATAAACCAAAGAGCCAGGAGAATATCACATATAAAAACCAGACATACAAGGAGACATTAAGGCATGTAAAACCACAGTAGGGTTTTAAATGTGATGAATGTCAGAGTCAATACACTTTAGTTAAGTGTAAGGAGTTAAAAGGGCAGAGAGATGCAGAATCCCCAGCTTCCACAGAGGGATGCCAAATCTTTTCAAAACCAGTGGGTCAAAAATCTGCATAATTTCTCAATTTCCAGCATCAGACACAAAGGTATGGGCTTTACTAGTATTCAGAAAATCTTTTAAAATCAACTAAACAACAAAATGAAGGTATATTTATCATCTCTCTGCAAATACATTTTTCTGGTCATCAACACCATTTTATTGATAAACACTGTATCCAAAACACAATAACCACACATACAAGATCACAGGAATAAAGAACAGAATTACTTTCCCTCAGGACCGTAACTTTTCTTATCAAGTGACTGTGCAAGGGTATACAAGCAATGGAGTAAAAGAACAGTGGTGTTTGTCTGCATGTTCACCCATGTTCAATAGTGACAAAGATGAATGCACTTTGCATGAAGGTCAGCTGTAAATCTTAGAAGAAGATAGAATTAATTCTCATTCTATCTTGGAAAAGGAGAGGAGAAGGACTCATCCTTACATTTAATAGGACTGACTTGACCATTTTGCAGGCTCTTGTCCCACAGTTAGATAAAAATGCATAAGAAATAAGAGAGAGGAGAGGAGAGGAGAGGAGAGGAGAGGAGAGGAGAGGAGAGGAGAGGAGAGGAGAGGAGAGGAGAGGAGAGGAGAGGAGAGGAGAGGAGAGGAGAGGAGAGGAGAGGAGAGGAGAGGAGAGGAGAGGAGAGGAGAGGAGAGGAGAGGAGAGGAGAGGAGAGGAGAGGAGAGGAGAGGAGAGGAGAGGAGAGGAGAGGAGAGGAGAGGAGAGGAGAGGAGAGGAGAGGAGAGGAGAGGAGAGGAGAGGAGAGGAGAGGAGAGGAGAGGAGAGGAGAGGAGAGGAGAACCATTCACAACGTCAGGAACTGGGGAACCAAACAAAAGGGTTGTGTGACATACTGGAAGAATTGAGATAAACTATGCAAAACCATCACATGAAAAGGGAATTTTCTAGTGAATGCCCAGCTGATGCAAAATGACATTATTTTTCCTTTACTAAATTATCAGGGAATTAATATAGTCTCATGAAAAGGAAGATGGACAGTAAGTTAGCTGTTCAAAATCTGTAATTTTATTTCCTACCTCTTCAGAGCTTCATCTCTGCAAAGGAACGGTGAATGGCCACCTCTAGCATACATTCTCATCACATGATTGCCACTTTATCCTCATTCTCTTTCCACTCACCATCCATATATTTTTCATCTTTCTTTTCTCCTCTCTCTCTAATCATGCTTCTTTGCACTCGCACCATCTGTAGTTTCCTTTCTCTTTACGTTTTACTTATTTAATAGTTGTACATTTCACTGACTTTCCACCTTATTTTTTCTGCCATTACAAGATATACTACCTTCAGTGAAGAGCTGAAACAATTGAGATATTTCAACAAGCTAAGCTGGTTGAAATAAAAGTTACTTTCAGAAATAAACCAATCAAATTTAAACGTATTGCTTTTGTTTAAAATTTCAGTATTATTATGACTTCACTGAATCTGGAGGTTTTCAAGCAGCTGTTTTTACAAGTTGTTTATATGAACACAAGACATGAGAAAATGTTTTGCATAGTTAGTTGGAAGTTTTTTCAAATTCCCTAAACCAGAAGATTGAATGCATAAAATAACTCGCTTTAAATATTTCCCCTTGTAGCAATCTCCCTGCTGCCAAATTCTCTTCCAGGTACAATCCCCCAATTTAGGGACTTGTTCCTACCTCATCTTAACTGTGCTGTACTCTTTACTGAACCCTGATATTACTCAGCTTCATGAGATCAAGGTACCTTCCCAGCACACTTCAGTATGAAAAAACACAACTGCATCAAAGTGCACAGATTTATACCTGTTAGCACTAAAGCAAACATGAGTCTGACTTTCCTCCAGATGGCAAGCGGGCAGTCCTGTGTACTTGATCAAAGAATCCTTTCTTTCATCTTGAAGTATATGCATGTTATAGGTATTCACCAAATAAGGCATGTGTATTTGCTTAAGCAACTTCTCTGAACAGTCAGGATTTACAAGGGTTAGTTTATCAGGTGCCTCAATTGTGTTTGCTTAAATAAGCTTCATGATACCTGATCTGTACCGTTTGATAAGTGCCTGAGAAATAAGTGCCTGGGTTTGGGGGCAGATTGAACATGCCCCAGACTGACTTTACCCATCTCACATCTGAACTATTTGGTATGAGTTACCGTAGAGCAGAAATGATTTACTTGATACAAAATTAACAGCAAATAATGACATCTTGTCACAGTTTCCAGACCATGCAGAAATAACTACACTATTCAAACACATTGAATTTATTAGGAATAGTTGACAGTTCAGGTTTCCAGTAGGCTTGGATATTGTCTGGGACTGTTTGTCTGCAATTGTTACCACTATAACAGAAACAATTGCTCTTGCAAAATGTGACATGTCAATTACAGTGTGGCATTAGATTAACCACTCTTTTATTTTCTTTTCTT